ATTGTTGCTGTTTAATGTATTATTAGGAGGAAACTTTATGCCACTCATCAATCCCACTGTTGGTGTAAGGATTACCATTCCACATATTCCACTGGACATATCACCAAAAGCCCAGGAACTCTCTGATCAATAGTCTCAACTTTCCACTGGACTATCCACACACAAGAGCCATCATCCACCTTCAAGATATCTATATTCCTCAAGGATTTTCCCCATCAATTACAAACCTGGTGAGACTGTTCCTTACTTCACTGTACAGTAAAACTGAACTCAAGGACTTCATTTGTTGAAGCTAAAGGATTGAGCAAGTGTATATTGCTGTTGGTTGTTGTTTGGTTGTATATAGGATTTATAGGATTTGCACTCAATACATTTTGAGGGTTTCACCGTATGTTTGTGTGGATGTGTTTTCTGTTCTTAGTTATTATTTTTGCATTTCCTTTTGACGCCCTCCCAAACATCTTCCTCCATCTTCCTTCCTCTTCCCACATACAGGAGGGGATCCAAGCACTTCAGCAGGCTCTTCGCGCTGCAGTCCTGGCTCCGCTGCTGGTGCGCCCTTAACGGCTTGGGCTACGTCGACAACTGGGCCTCGTTTTGGGAACAGCCAGTGCTCTACCGCAGGGATGGGCTTCACCCTAGTCATCTCGCATCTGTTGTCCTCTCTAGGAACATCGAAAGGGCATCCAAAGGCCACGTAAGTAGCACCAAAAATAGAAATGCTACAGCTTCTAACACTAGTGTCACTACTGAAAATAAGACGATTACTAGCACTTATAGTGTAAATAAGGCAAGTGCTGATAAAAATACTTATTCTATAAATACAAATGCTCATAGGTTTCTCCCAATTGAGACTGTGTCTGTTCCCCAAATAAAACAAAGCATCAAAAAGCCTTGAAATGTTTGCTCTAGTAAATTGATTAATATCAGACCAGTTGTACCACTCTGCAATGACCGCACCTTTGGTCTAAAACTAGGACTGCTTAACATAAGATCTCTTATATCTAAAGCCGTCATTGTAAATGAAATTATTACCAATTACGACTTTGATGCTCTGTGTTTAACAGAGACGTGGATTAGACCTGAAGAGTACTTAGCTTTAAATGAAGGTGGAGGTGTAGCAACCATTTATACCATAACTTTAGGAATAAACCAGAAAGCAGACCATAGTTTCTCTTCCTTTGAAATTCAGTTTCTCAATGTTAGCAATCGAGGAACAAATGACATGCCCACATCTTTAAGTCTAGGCTAAAAACTTACCTGCTTAGTTGAGCCTTTGGTTAATTAGTTTTCCTGTTAGAAAAAGGTGCAGATCTGGGGATTCACAGACAGAGAGTCTTATGGTAATCTGGGAACGTTGGTGCTGTTGGTACTGCTCTGTCGTCCCACTGCTTGACGATGGAGCAGAGGGGCGCTGAGTTCTCCCTCTTAGTTATGCTGCCATAGCCAGGCCTACCGCTGCACTCTGTCAACTCTCTGTTCTGTTCGGTCACCCATATCAGAACTAACTATTGTTAGTGTTGCCTTTTTTGATGCTTTCGTGTTTTGTGTTGCACCCTTTTCTGTGTTTGTCATGTTTCTCTGTTTCACTTGCTTCAGTTTTTTCCTTGGTGTGTGTTCTGTTTCAGACCTCAGTGTTGTTTATGGAATCCATCAGGCTCGCAGAATTTAGCTGCTCTGTTGTGAACCCAGACTCCAGTAAACTACTAATAAACTCATAAGTGCATCCCTCACCTCGACTGTTTCAATGTTATATCATCAAACTTTCAGAGGCTTCTGTAATTGAGATGCATGGGCATGTAAAAAAGTGCAAGACACAATCCAATGACCCTCTTTAACACTCCTGTTGTTTTCAAATTTACTAACACACTTTTTATCCCTGGGGTCAATTTGACCACAGTAATTTAAACCTCCCGAAAGTGACTATAATTAAAATTGTTACCCAAGTTTGTCAGGCACTTCATGATTCTTTGTTGATTACCTTCCGTTGCCCTTTACGTAAAACATACCCCACCACCACCCCCCATACATCCAGAATACCTAATAAGCAACAAAGCCCTCCCCTTAAGGGTCAGCTGTCTCCAGCACAAACAAGTCCTCAGCCAGCATAAGTGCTGTGGTGTGACCCTGTCCTTTGCTGCTCATGGGTGAAGTGTCCTGCTCTGCCCCTGCCTGGCAGCCGAACAAAAGCTCCATGAGCATCCTCTCCCTCTATCCGCCAGAGCAGAGCCACTGGATGAGGTGGAACTCCTCGTGGCTGATGCAGTGAGGAAGTGTTCCAATGCCAGATATTCCTGCACCCTTCTGAAATGTTGGGTATGCCTGCCCATGCTTAGTTAGTTTTGTCTGGTCATCCATACCGCCAGTGCCTGCTTGAAGCATTGCTGGAGGGCCGTGATCAATGCCGCTAGGCCGTCATATTGTCAGAATATGATTGCTCCTCGTCTATGTGTGAACTATCAGTGTCCTCACAGGAACATTGTGTGTGAAATGTCAAAGTGAGCTTTCAGTGAGCTTTCAGTGGTTCTTGCACTACTGCAGGTGGTGTTAGGTTAGGGCTCTAAAGCAGAGGGAAGTTTTTTGAAGATCATAAAATTCCATGTTATATCATCCAAAACAACCACGACAGATGACAGAAACAAATGTGTGTAAAATGTTAATATTTGTTTTATACAGCTAAAATGCAACAAACACCAATGATGCATTCAAAATGCGCATAAGACATTAAAAACATATCATGTTAATTTGATGTTTGTCAAATTGTCCCTATTAGATTAGGAAAAGTTATTAAATGTGAAGCAAAACATGTCAATCCTTTATTTAGAGACATTAAACATTGACTGGGGTCCAGTTGAGCCCAAAGGTAATACAAGGGTTAAAAGGAAGTTCAGTCAGCAGGAAGAATAAACAGTCACACCAGATGACTTCTTATAGCTCAACCACCATTCTCAGGCTTGTCCTCAGAAGTTAGGCATATTGTAATTGTACTTACTTTAGTATGGTGATAGGAACCAGGGGTCACAATGCCTACAACACAAATATAGCCATTTTATTTATTATCCAACACCAACAGCATACCTACATGTGCCTTTTTTTATTTATAAACATTATTAACAAAAACACAACTGGATGAGCGAGAAATCAGACCAGCTCCCTCTGCATTAAAAGCCAGGTTAGGTCAGGAGTCACAACACAAATGATAAGAAGAGCCATTCTGTCCTTTCAACAAAGTCAAACCACCTTGGGATCCACAACATTTAATGTCCAGTATGTGTTAATGTCGAAGTATGGGCTAAAAATATAAACGAGAGCGCAGATTTCCTTCGGTGTGCTTTAAGCTTCAGCTACAGCCGCTGTCCTCCCATCTCCGCCAGAAAACGTTTCCTCAAAATTAGAAGAGTTTCTTGTAAAATGTCTCAGCATCCAGCTGTTTTATGAGGCTGAAGTCACTTCTCATTCTAATTTTCCCGTTCCACCTTAAATTCTGCCTTAGGCGCCGAATGTAACTGCTGCACCATTTAAGCTGGAATGGGAAAATTTGAAAGAGAAGCGAGTTCATATTCGCAGCTTTTTTTTTTTACTCTCGTTGCAGATTTAACCAACCGCGCTGCTTATAAATGCGAATAAGTCCTCCAAATGTTCGTCTTAATCTCTGTTTTTTCGTTCGCTACTGGCGAGGCCAGACCTCAGTGCTATGTGGCCTGCTGTCTGCTGTCTGTTCTCGGTCGTTGAGAACCTGGGCTTTCACGCTATGCCGCTATGCTGCACACTTTGGAGCCGAGATTCAGCGATAAGATCACTAAAGAAAACAGGGAAGGACAGCTGTAACGCGCTGCGTGGACACCCATTAAGCTACCACTGGATCTTATTTCAGGGTAACAGCGCATCTTGTGGCAGATGAGTGGCAGCAGCGTCTCTGAATGAGAGCCTTCTAGTTCACTTGCCACATCACTTCCATTTGATTTGTTCATAAAAGATATTTTAGATATTTAAAGCAAAGTATTTGTAATGATCCGTAATGCATTTACATTATGGGTCATTACAAATACTTTGCTTTAAAACTACCAAGTCCTCAGACAGTAGGAAGATAGAAATCCTGCATAGAGAAAAAAGATGCATCGATAATCGTTTTATAATCGCATCATAATCGAATCGAATTGTGAGGTGCCTAAAGATTCCCACCCCTTATATTTATATTGCTAATAGTGGTAAAAGAGAGAGAAATCTGAAAAATGTTTTCTTTGGGGACTATTGCCTTACATCACTCTGCATTTATTTCACACATTTTAGGTTTTAGGTTGTATGGCATGGTGGTGCAGTAGGTAGTGCTGTTGCCCACAGCAAGAAGGAATTGGGTTGGATTCACTGGCCAGGTGACTGGGGCCCTTTCAGTATGGAACTTGCATGCTCTCCATGTGTCTGTTTCATCCCACAGTCCAAAGACGCACAGTCCGGCCAACTGGAGATTCTAAATTGTCCCTTAGGTATGAGTGAATGTGTGTCTGTGTGATGGACTGGCAATATGATAATGCTAATTTCCACTCAAGGGGACTTCAGTGCCAAGCTAACATTAGTTTGCATGTTATGCGTTCGCAGTGACTCCCACAGTGACTCCAAAAACTTATTTCCTGAATATTAATGAAAGAGCCTGTTAGCTCTGCTCAGCTCAGAGAAAGAATTCCAGACCTATAAGGACATCCACTGATTGGGAATCGAAACATAATTGGTTGATTCCTTTGTCACTTCATAATTATGTTAATCTACTCTAAAGCCTTCTGCCCAGCTCCTGAAGTCCTAACCAACAGTGAAAGATCTTTCTTGCAGTACATGGAGAGATGAAATAGGACTATTATGCTGATTGTAAAAGTTGAAAATAAACTAAAAATAACATACATATAATTTTTAGTTCCCAGAAAACATTTGGCTCCAAAAGGCCCCTCTGCTGTGCAACTAAGTTGACATATGTTAAAACTTTAACAGAATGCAAGAATGTCAACAAATTCATTGCTTTTGGAAAGTTTATTTGATTTTCTTCAGGTATCACACACCAAGTTCATACACTTCTTGGAATAAATGTTTCTCTTTAGTAAATCTGGAGTCACAATAATAGTATAAGCAAAGCTGAGTTGGTGGAATATTCATTAGAAAATAACCACTTATTAAATGACACTGGCATCAGTATCAGTGACATTTATGGAGGGCATCCAAACGTCAGGAGATTCTGAGCGAGTCCAGTGATGCCGACGTATTTATCTTTGTATTCTGGAGTTTGGCCTTCTTCTTTTGTGGGCCAGTATTCAATCCAAGTCTGCTCGTCCAGGACGTACTGCAGCCTGATAACAAATATGAGAACAGTGAGGACCCAGACACACATACCATCAACACCACACAAACACTTCACACACAGTACCTTTCTTATTCAAAATTCACACATTAGTGCAGTTCTATACACAATAACCCTTAGCAGAACCCCTAGGCTGTGCTGACTCTTCACCATTTAGCCTGATTTTAACCCCCAATGTGCCCCTTTCAACAAATTTTCACAGTATGGCGGCACTTTTTTTAGGTTGGAAACTCGGTCAGAAGTGACTGACTGAACAGATGATCATATGACAAATGAGCAAAAATAGAGGAAATTGGGTGAGGGGCAAATATTTTTTCACAGCACCTTTAGCTAGCAAGTAAGGTGTTTAACCAGCCAATTTGGCCACTTTAGACTTGTGTTTTAAAAGATGCATACAATGAAGAAAAAACAACTTAATTACAATTATTTATATGATAGTTAATTGTCAGTTAAAATGTAATGATCGTAATAGCCCTAGTATGTACACTGCTGCCTTGTCATACTATGTTTTTCCTGTGTTTTTATAATTTATTCATTTATAGTCAGAGACTGTAGTGTAGACTCAAACCTGTCAGCACACAATGTACATCAAATGTAAATATTCATTAGATAACTGACTGTAATTAGAGACGTAATTGCATGAGCACATTTAAACAACATATTTTACATAGGCACTTGTAAGGCTACATGACTTTGGACTTCTTGGGGTCATATTAGGGACATATGCAAACCAAAAGCAAATCCTTGCATGGGAAGACATTTATACATACTTTCCATCTGTCCTTGGTAGATTATGACTTTGACCCATGATGAGGTACGCTTTGCCTTCCACAAATCCATAAGATTCTCTGCAGTTAGTATGACCTCTGAAGCTTCTCACTTGTCCTTGCTCATCAAAATTGTCACCTACATAACACATTACTGCAGTCAACATTAATCCTTTAAAATGTACTGTAGGCGTGTAGGAAATGTATCACTGATATATTCCTCACTAGGGCCCGGGAAATGATCCATAAAAAATGTGGCATTTTTATAAAGAGTACACACCAAAGCTTTGGACTTGATTCCACACTTGTATGCATATGGATTGTGAGACATTGTGTAGACAGCCTGGAAAAAGTTTTCTTCCACAATGCATGTACTACGTTTAGACAATGTATATTGTAAAATTATTCACAAAAACTGGCTTACAAATGAAGTTTGATTATGTATATCTAAGGTGCAAACAAAATGCGCAGGACACATTTTGCCACTTCTCTCAAGCAGTGTACCACTAATTCACTCAAAAATCCAAAAACACCACACTGTAAAAACAAAAGTGCTGCAGAAACATTCCGGTTTCCTGACTATTAATGAATACGTCATTATTGTCCTGATAATGTTTATGTGCCCCCCCCCCCATAATTTCTCAGGAATTGTGCTCTTGCGGGGGCATTCAAACTGCCTCGTCAGTCTTATTGGAAAGTCAACTTTAGCTTGTGATCACACTATTCCCATTTAATTACTGTTGAATTGCTAAAAATGCATGTACAATATTGTTTAAAGGTTAGAAACAACATTCACTTTGTTATGAATAATGCGTATTTGTGAGGTCTTATCACTTCTGTAGACACTGATGTGCCAGATTTCATGTCTTCCAATCTGTGGTGCATGTACTCAATTGTCTGCTCTAAATTTTGTGGTCCTTGAAGTTACTGACCTCGTGAACTCAATAAGTTCAAGAAACCTAGAGAAATATACAGGGTTCTAAACTTTGTAAGTGTGTGCAGCGTCTTGATTCACAGGGCTAACTTAGTGACTGTTTTCTAGCTAATGCTTCTGAAGGACACTGAGCGCATTTACATGCACTTAATAATCAGATAACTGCAGAAAATCAGGTTTTGTCAGTATTTAGTTAAATGTGTTTACGGGTACTTCAGTAATTAGATTTAATGGGAAAACTCTGGGTCCACATGAGTCAAACATTAATTAGATTTCTGACTTGCAACGTGACAATAAACCACAGAATAGGATGTGATGTAAATGTGATGCAAAACTCATGCCACTATTTTTTTTTTAAACATCAGGAGTCACTTTACCAGAAAATATGAAATAAAATAAAAATAAATAAATATTTAAATTAGTTGGTCCAAGCATTGCTCAAAAAATGTTTGTTAGCATCTTCTGAGTGTTTTAGAATTTAGAACCATTGATCAATTATGCTTACACAGAGAAATTTGACTGCTACATTTAACCCATCTGTGCAGTGAAATGCCCATATATACACAGACAACACACACTAGGGGGCAGTAAGCAAACCCAAAGGATTGGGCAGCCTTATCCTTGGCATTCAGGAAGCAGTTGGGGGATAGGTGCTTTGCTCAAGGGCACTTCAGTCATGTCCTGTCGGCTCGAGGGATCGAACTGGCGACCTTCCGGCCACAAGCCTGGTTCCCTAACCTCCAGCCCACAACTGTTTAAATGCTGCTTGCTGTGAGTAATTTCATATAATTTCAACTAGTGAGTCAAATTTAGCTTACATTTTTAATCAGTCTTTGTAAACAGATACCAGTTTATAATGTACATCTATGCTGTATGTACACCCAATGGCTTTTTCAGTTTTGTGTCCAACATATTGCAGTGTGTTCGAGAAATGGTCTCATGTTAATTTTGGGTTATTGCTCTCCAGCAGTTGTTCTCTATGTTTATTCTGAAGACCCTTATGGTGAAGGTGAGGCTAGCCTTCCTTTGCTGTGTTTATGCATTAGAACAGGAAGAACTGTGTCAGTGAGAGCTCGGAAGCGAAAGTGCAGATGTGAGTTAATGCTAGATGGGGCCATCAGCCAAAGCCTTGCTTTCTGTACAGCATGGCTGTGGCCAATTACAGTCTTTACCCTATCAAACTTCCTAACATATTTATTTTGCTGCTGTAAGTGACACATTGATACAGTGTTTCATCTACTTACGACACAGCTTAAGATGTTCGCAAGACACTTTGTTGTGACAACACAATTAGTTGTACCTTTCAGAACCTGTTCAATCTTCATGGTATAGTAGTCTGTGTATGGGCTCCAGTCAGTCTTCACAACTTTGACTCTGTAAACTGTAGAATGCATACTTAAGAACAAACCTCATTTGTTCAGTTATTACTCTAATTCAAACATTTGTTTATTACAACATGAAACATGAAACATGAACAGTGAAGGTGTGTGTGGTGAAACTGTATGTGTCATGAGTTCTTACCGTAATCAATGTTACGTTGACAAGCAACTCTTTCCCGATCTTTTTCTTCGATTTTCTGTTTCTTTTGGATGCTGCAGTTTTCTGTGAAGATATTGAGTGTTTAGACTTCAGGTAAAATGGTAATTAGTTTGGACCATTTAAAAGTGGTGGTCATTTATGTGACATGACAAACAAATAGATTAGTTCACATGACTGGATTTCTAAATAAGAAGAAATATAAAATGCTATTGAATTGTAAATTTTGCTAGCTTAGTGTTGGCAGCATAGCTGTGAATGCCCGTACCTTCAGTACATTCGCACAGACCCTCCTGATCATTGCACAGTCTGTCCAGAGCTCCATCTTTCTTTGTAGGGTGGTAGAACTTCGTACAGCGTTTATCTGTGATGACACAAGCATTTACGGCTGTGAAGGTGTGCTTATGTATGTGTCGGGGCCTTGGGTGTCAACTTGGGTTAAATATTGGGGAGGTGGGGCAAAAACCTTTAGAATTATATCCTAATCTGATGGCAAACGTTTAATCTGTGGAAAAGATGCTGAAGTAAGAGCAAGAATCATGGGTGAGAATATGTAAATTATTAATTGTATATTCACTTTTGTTATACACATTTGTGTAAAGGCTGCCAGCAGAGGGTGGTGGCGGCAATGCACTGTTACTCTGGGAGACTCAAAATCCCAGAATACCAAGGGGTAATCAGTACCAACCAGGCCATGGCAGACAGCTTACCCTTGTCACACCTTTATAGAGGAGTCACTGATATGGTACTTAGCCCAGGTGGGTATAAAAACAAGAAGAAAGAAAGAAGAGAAGGATAAAAGAGAAAGAAAACAGAGCACTACTCTAAGCTAGGTGACAGAGAAGAAAAAAGAAAGGGGAAAGAAGGAAAAACAAACATTGTTTTGATTTAAGACAAGGAACAGAAAATAGTGAGAAAGAAAAGTAAAGGCTGAAATATAGTCAGCTCCCCTTCTCACCTTTGAGAGGTGTTTTGGTTTGGCCATTTATTTGGTTTCTTGGGTTTAACCTTTGTTTGGGTTACGCAAGGCCAGTGTCGCTGGTTTGAATCCAGCTGGGCATTACTCCCCTCCAACAGTACACAGCATACTCATTATCCCCACATCATTATTTCTTACACTATAGAACTACCAAGAGGGTGAATAAATACTTCTTTTTTTGTATTGTTTTTATTTGTCAATTTTAAGACCTGTCCTCATGGGTTTTCCCCTCTGTACGTGGGTCTGCTCCTTGACTGTCTTGTGACAGAAAAGGTGTGACCAAACATGGACCCAGCAGAGATGGATCAATTCAAGGCAGCCCTGCTAAATCAGGGTGCTACCATTGGGCGCTATGACCAGCAGCTGCAAGAGATGACCCAGCGATACATGAGACCATCAAACCCAGTGCTGGCACACCTCCCACCCCACCTGTTGTGGCAGCCTCCTCAGAAGCTCTGCTATGCCTGCCCCAGTACAAGGGGATTCTCGCGTAGCTAATCTTGAGTGGTATGCTGAGGATGCGGAGGGCTGCAGAGGATTCTTGTTACAATGTTCATTGGTATTTGAGCAGCAGCCCTCCCAGTTTCCCACAGAGAGATTCAATGTGGCCTACATGATCTCATTGCTGACTGGGCGAGCATTTGCCTCAGCTACAGCCCTATGGAAGCAAAATTCCCCGGACTGTACCACAGGGGCAAAGTTTGTTGAGGCCATGCAGCAAACATTTTAAAACCCTGTTGGGGGCAAAGAAGTCACATCTTGCATGCTCACTTATTCCCATGGCTGTTATTCGCATTTTCACCCCCTGTAAGCACTCAGCCATAGCTGCTTACATATGGGAGGCATTAGAACTGGGCTTTATTTGCCCATCTTATTCTCCTGCGGGCGAGCTTCTTCTTTGTGGGCAAGAAGGATGGAGGCGTTCGTCCCTGTATGGATTCTCAGGGACTAAACTCAATCACTATCAAGGCCACCACCATCCTCCGCTGGTGTCTACATCATTTGAGGCACTGCAACAGGCCACCATATTTACCAAATTCGACCTGTGCAGTGTCTACAACCTAATATGCATCAAACAGGGGGATGAATAGAAGACAGCGTTCATCACCCCCACTGGGCATGATGAGTATCTAGTAATGCCATTTGGGCTCATGAATGCCCCCACCGTCTTCCAGCGCTTCATAAATGATGTTCTGAGGGAGGCCTTGAGTCATTATGTATATGTCTACCTCAATGATATACTCATTTACAGCCAGTCCCTAGAGGAACACATCAGGCATGTCAGGTGGGTCCTCCAGCTTTTACTGGAGAATCACCTGTACGTTAAACTGGAGACGTCAGAGTTCCATGCCTCAACGGTTTCATTCCTGGGCTTTGTGGTGTCTAAAAGCACCCTTACCATGGATCCAGCCAAAATCAAGGCTGTGGTGGACTGGCCTTGCCTTGCCCCTCTCCAGTTGGTCCAGCAGTTTCTGGGGTTTGCCAGCTTCTTATGGCACTTCGTATGGAACTTTAGTTCTGTGATGGCTCCCCTCACCAAGTGAGGTATGTGCTCGCAACAAGGCACCCAGGTCACGGCCCAAAGGTCTCCCCTCATCCTTTGTCTATCCCTGCATGTCCATGGTCCCATGTCTCCCTGGACTTTATCACGTGCTTGCCCTCATCCAGTCATGCTGGTTCTAGTTGACTGCTTCTCCAAGGCGTGCAAGTTAGTGGCACTGCCCGAGCTTCCATCCCCCAAAGAGACAGCAGAACTCTTGTTACAACATGTGATCAGGGTGCATGGGATGCCTAGCGATCTGGTGTTGGACTGGGGACCTCAGTTCACTAGTTGCTTTTGGAAGGCCTACTGCCAGCTCATGGTAACCTCTGCAAGTCTCTCCTCCGGCTTCCACCCAGAGTCCAACAGCCAAACTGAGAGGGTCAATCAGAACCTTACCCAGACTCTGAGGTGTTCGACTTCCACCAACCTGGCCTCTTGGGGTTACCATCTGCCTTGGGCAGAATATGCCCAACACACCCTGGCAGTCATCTCTGAGAATGTCACCTTTCGAATGCCAGTTCAGATTCTTTCTGTCCATGTTTGCTAAACAAAAGCATTAAGTGGGAGGGCATGGCAGAAGGCTGACCTAGATCGAGGCCAGGAAATGTGTAGCTGACAGTAAGAGACATGGCGCATCAACGTTCTGTCTGGGTCAGCGAGTCTGGCTGTCCGCAAAGGACCTCCCTCTCCTTGTGAAATCCCAAAAGATTGGTGCCACAGTTCATGGGGCCATTTACGGTAGAATGGTGGGAATGGGATTCCATACAAGATTGACGTGGAACATCTCATTTTGTTTGTGCTCCTGTTTACAGGTCAGCAATTCAGAGATTTCAGATACAGAGCAAGCGGACAAGCGGAACACTACTGAAGCGTGCGGTTTAAGATGATCATACAGTAGACTATAGCTTATCGTAGACCTTGTTGTTTTGTTGATGTTAATGGTTTTACAGAGTGAACTGTACCGCACACCATTGGAGAACACCCGAAGTATTGCACAGCTGATTGGCCAGTGTTTTCATGTTTACATTTTGATATTCTAATTTGTTATAGTTTTAATGGAATAATACCTTTAACATTGATCAGAATTAATTTAGTAGATTTATCATTTTTGGTATCAGTTAACAAACTTTACAGACTCATTGTTTTCAACCTAAACATTAAGGTGCCAGTGTGTGGTTACGTTGGGCATTAGTTCTGCTGATTGTTAGACAAGTAACTATCTCTTTCCATGCTTACTAAACTTAATGTAAAATTTTGTCCACATCAGTTGGTAGAAAACTCAGATGTGCTGTCGAGTTACACAGATTTTATGGATTTTAACAAGAATAGGGCCCCCACAACCTGTGATCAGGTCCCCGTAAATTGAAATTGGCATATATGCATATGTGTGTGTGTCTATGAACTTACCTGGAGAGTAGTATTCATACACAGTGATGCCAGCAGGTTGAAGCATAGCCACTTCAGTGATCTTGTGCACTCTGAAAGCAATCGTGTCCATCACTCCATGAGATACCTGGTGAGAAGCAGCAGTTTTAGACAGTAATGTATTTTCAATGTAGTTTAAAGTACCATGCAGCAATATAGTGTATAATATGTAAAAATGTTAAATAACACAAAACAAATTGTTACATTATGCATGCAGAAAAGTTTGGGCCCTGTTTTTTTTCACAACAACAAAAACTTCATGGGAATAACCACATTATGGGATGTGATGCGGATGCTGCTGGATTTTCAGTTGATATTGCAGAAAAGCGATCCTCTAGAAAAAAAGCTGAGCTGAACCACAAGCTCTGTTTACAAGGTAAGACTGAGCCTTGCTGCAAAAGCTGTAGCAGATTGGCCATTTAAAACATAATTACTGCACATGCCAACCAAGAGGGCACTTGTATAGATTGAGGGCTTATCTGTATAATCAGAGATATTTTGACAAAGAACATGTAGACATTCACAAGTTATTCATGATACCAACATTAACCGAACTACAAAACAATCACAAACTTAAACAGGGGGTAATAAGAGTCTGATGAAGGGTTGTCTTCATATATACCTTGTCTAGATAGAGGATGAGTGAGCCTCGTTCTGAAAGCTGTTTATCCATCTCAAACTTTTGGACATATCTGTCGCTCCCAGTGGTCAGCTGTTGTGAACACAAGAAAAAAAATATTTAATGTTAATCCCTTAATTGGCCAAGGCCATTATTAGTACTTCTATACCCTAAGAAAAGCTCAGTCAGTTTGCACTGAAGTAGATCCTGTAGTTACTGAATGATAAGCCTTAGTATGTAATAAGCCTGGGATTTTAAGTGGTTAATTTATTATTATTATTATTATTTTCAAATATGCAAAATAATTATGCAAAATACTGAAGTATAGGATAAAGTAATGTTTGACCACACTTGCTGGGATGTGTTTTTACCGCATTTACAAGGTTCCTACTAGGTTTTAAAATATTAATGATATATCATCTCCCAGATATTCCCTTACATCACTGAGATCACTTTCATCCACCACAAATCCTGTCAACAGGCCAATATCCAAAATAGACATAGTGGCATCTCTGGTTTGACTCTTATACCTGTGCGGATGAATAAAAAAACACAACATTCTATTAACACATTACAATAGTTCTAAAATATACAACAACAGTTCCAGAAAAGTTGGGGTGCTGTGTAAAATGTAAATAAAAGTAAATAAAAACAGAACGCAATGATTTGCAAATGTCGTAAGTAGGACATTTTTATCATTTCATGAAAAAAAAATTAACTAATTTAGAACTTGATGGCAGCAACGCATCTCAAAAAAGTTGGGACAGGGCCGTGTCTACTATTGTGTAGCATCCCCTCTTCTTTTAACAACAGTCTGTAAACATCTAGGAAGTGAGGAGACCAATTGCTGGAATTTTGGGAAAGGAATGTTGTCTGATAGGATTCTAGCTGCTCAGTCCTGGATCTTCTTTGCTGAATTTTTCGCTTCATGATGCGCCAAATGTTTTGTATTGGTGAAAGGTCTGGATTGCAGGCAGGCCAGTTCATCACCCAGACTCTTCTCCTATGAAGCCATGCTGGTGTGATAGATGCAGTATGTGGTTTAGCAATGTCTTGCTGAAATATGCAAGGCCTTCCCTGAAAGCGTTGGCACTAATGCAATAGGCATTAATACAACCCCATACCATCAGAGATGCAGGCTTTTGAACTGTGCAAGGTCCCTCTCTTCTTGAGTCTGCAGGGCACGGCGTCTGTGGTTTCCAAAAAGAATTAAAATTGAATTCATCTGACCACAGAACAGTTTTCCATTTTGCCTCAGTCCATTTTAGATGAGCTTTGGCCCAGAGAAGACGGCAACGTTTCTGGATTGAGTTGACATGTGGCTTCTTCTTTGCATGATACAGCTTTAACTTGCATTTGTGGATTGCACAGTGAACTGTGTTCACAGATAATGACTTCTGGAAGCATTCCTGAGCCCATGCAGTGATTTCCAGCACAGAATCATGCCTGTTTTCAATGCAGTGCTGCCTAAGAGCCTGAAGATCATGAGCATCTGATATTGACCATTGGCCTTGTCCCTTGCATACAGAGATATTATGATATCATAATATATATATTATTATATATATATATATATATATATATATATATATATATATTGAGGAATGTTTTTCTGAAATTGTTCCACGTGGGTGAACCTCTGCCCATGTTTGCTTCTGAGAGACTCCGCCTATCTAAAATGCTCTTTTTATACCGAGCCATGTGAGTTAGTTACAAATTGCTCATTCAGCTGTTTTGTATTAGTGCCACTTACTTTTCCAGCTTTTTGTTGCCCCTGTCCCAACTTTTTTGAGATGCGTTGCTGCCATCAAGTTCTAAATGAATTAATGTTTTTCATGAAATGGTAAATTGTCTCACTTTCAACATCTGATATGTGTTCTATGGTGAATAAAATATGGTCTGTGAGATTTGCAAATCACTGCATTCTGTTTTCATTTACATTTATTTACATTTTACATGGCATCCCAACTTTTATGGAATTGGGGTTGTACTACCAATGAATACATATTCTAAAATATCATATTTGCTGAACCTAAAGAACAAAATTGACAATGAATTGAAATGCAATGAATTTTGTATGCACACAGTCCATGTTGTAATATACTCACAAGGTCTCAATGGTGAGCAGATAACTTTCTTCAGCTCCTGGATATGACACTGAAATAAGCAAAAATGATCATTATACAATAAAATATGAAAAGTTGCTTGGTTCTGCCCCACAACTAGGACTAAAGTCACTCACACAGAGACACATTTGGATCACAGTGAATCTTACCGGCACGTTGTCTTTCCATGGTTACAGTAAGATCAAAATCTCTGCAGTCACTTTCCTTCTCAGTGGGTCTAGCATAGTAGAGTGTTACTACCTATAAAGAGGATATTTATTAACAAACAAATACAACTAGAAGTACAAAATCTTCAGACACATGTAGCATGTGTGAATACTCACTTTGAGAGATCCCACACCATTTCCCTTAGCTGTAACAGTAAATTCCTGATTGAGGTTAACCTATGGATGTATAGAAGCCTTTTGATTAGTCCTAACAATTTAATGATTAACATATGCATGCAGAAGTGCTTTGAATAAATATTCAGTATCCTTACCCTTCTAAAAGGGCTTAAACTTGAAATAATATTCACACACAGTCAACACAAATCAAATAAAATTTCAAACCCACTTTAATACCACTTGAAAAAGTCATGCATTAAATTTACCCGATTTAAATGTGTACATCATTTCCATATGTATAAAACACACAAGCTCCATTTTGTCTTTTAGTTTACTTACTTTTGACAATAATTGTGTTGATGGGATCTGCTTTATTACTATGGAAATGATATACAAATTTGAGTCAAGTTGACATACTTTTTCCCAGTGTGAAAGGAACTAAACAATAATGAAACTATATGAAGAGCATGTTTAACCTTTTCTGAATATGTGAGGTGTGAAGTTTCCCTTTTGAAAATCCATCTGATAGATTGAGCTTGGCCCCTTACAGACACCTCCACATCCAATTCCCCACTCTGAAATCTGCTCGCTTGCTTGTAGTACTCAGCCACAGACTGGAAGACCATGATAGTTGCCTAGGTGCCAAATAAATGAGAGTCAAACTATAGTTTACTTTCTTTCTTTAGTCTTTTGAAGTTTCAAATCAGTTTTAGTAAATGACAGAGACCACAGGATTTAGTATAAACTCTTTTCCAATCAGTTGAATTCAGTTCTGTCTTACACTGGTGGAGTCTATCCCACTTTTGACACCAGTGTAGCGTCAGCGGAGAAGAAGATGCAGGAAACATTCCGCTTTAAAGGAGAATAACCTTCAATGAACAGGCAGCAAGGGAGAACTGCTGCTCAGTGCTAACCGACCTGCTCAGAATAGCACAACCACATGTAAACAAGCATCAACAACTTAAACAATGAACATTAAAGTCTCTCCTACACCAGCGCAGCCCCTTCTCTTCACAATGCTGCTTTGCGTCGCTCTGCTTCCTGTGCTTCCATATTGTACATATTTCACAATATTTCATACTCATATTTGATGTGTTTATTGAACTCTGGAAATGTTGATAAATGTTTTTATTGTGTCAAAGTGACAACGCTTCTGGTGTTGTAATTCACTATTGCTGTGTGAGCAGACAGACCCTAAAAGATGAACAGTTTTGGCTGAAACTCAAAAAAAGTTGTGGGGAGAGGACCCTCCCAGAGAGAGAGAGGGAGAGAGGACAACCCTCTTGATCTCCTGGCCACACAGGTGAACATTTTCTTAAAATGAAGGATAAAGTGGTCACATACAACATATGCAAGTCTGACCTAGTATTCCACAGGAGCACAATGTCACCTTTGACCACTGGAAAAGAAAACATGCTGGTCTTGGTTTGGCAGCAGCAGTACGTGGACGAAGCTGAAGTTCTGTGTACATGTGCCAGAATGAAACTGTTGCGCCATTTAAGGTGAAATTGAAAATTTGTAATAAGAAGCTGGTTAATAAGAAGGCAACTGCAAACTTGTAGTAAACAGTAGCTTTCCCTTCATACTTGTGTTCTGAAAAACCAAATAGCTCCCTGATGATGTGCAGTTTACACTGTAAGTGATTTGTCAGAATGAGCTAACGTTCCCCTTACAAACATCACTAAAGCTCATCCTGTTACACTAGTAACATTAGTTACTGGAATTCTAAGCTGTGCCCGTTTCTGTAAATTAAGTGTTTAGCAGCTGCTTCAAAAACTACTGAATTCTCAGTTTGTCCCGTCACAGACATTACATACATTAGCTAGTTAACAGCTGCTTAATTCACTCAAAAACAATTCAATCTGAAACAATTTTCATGTTTAAAAAAGCCATCAGCTCTTCCTGGAAATTTGTTCACACACAACTCATCTAGTGAACCTTCAAAAGTGCAAAATGAGCATAATTTGCCTTAAACAAAGCATTTAAGATGTTTTTTCCTTCATAATGAGGTTTTAGCTCTTGAACAGCACTTCACTTTGTCAGAATAATGCCATATTCTTTATTGCTAAAGCTTTTCCCATGTAAAGGCCACATTTAAGCCAAGTAATCTATTCAGTCAATTAATTCACATTAATAATTGAATATCAAAATATTCTTTTTTTTGAACCCCTACTTGTTATCCTCTACAAATAAATGTATATGTATGAATGTCTATAATGCTAATTCAGGTAGAGCTAATCCCAGTTCCTACAGTCCGTGTGTGTGTGTGTGTGTGTGTTTCGGCATCAGCAACAGCACCCCAGAATTCCCACACTGGTGCATCCCTACTTTTTGCACTTTTTTCCGAATGCATGTTGAGAAATGTTCAGGTCTGAGTGACATCACTTTCAATTTAAGAATAGTCACTACATGTGGTATCAGGGATTCAGTAGCATGAGCATGGCCTACCTGTGTGGAGCCAGTTCCATAAGAACCGGACTGCCTGTTGAGCCAGCGCACTGCTTTCCCTGCTTCCTCAAACTGCTTCGCCTTTACCAGAGCCAGCAGGGCATAGGCTGTGGCTTCCAGGGAGAAGTGGTGTCCACTAGTGACTTCCCAATAAGCACCGTCTGTTCGTGGGGAAAAAAGAAGCTGTTGAGCATAACTGACTTTGTCTCTGAACTACTCACAAATTATTCGTTTCTTCATGACGTTTCTTCTCAGCACTTCATTTTCAGTCTATACAGGTGTTCACTGACACTCATCATTCATTTGAGCTTCACTGACCTCCAGAGGAATACCTCATCAGGAGAGCTTTGTCGAATTTGCCAGCATTGGCCATGGCATAGGAGGTCATAGCAACAGCATAAGGGTTGGTCAAAGTGGGAATTCTACGTTCCAGATACTCAGTGGCCTTCTGTATACTCTGTGCAAGACTCTAAGTGAATAAAACAAAAGAGGAAATGACAACAATGTAGAATCCATTACCTTCTTTTATTTTTGTTTATAACAGATTGATTATCACACATCAAATTTGACTTACAGGGACAGACTTGTCACAAAGTTCATTTCCTTCTTGCATGGCAATCAGGACAAATGCTGTCAGAGATGCGTCTGCATCCTTTCCTCGCACATCTCCCTGGAATTACACAGATAAAAAATGCCTTCACTAAAACACTGGGTTTACATTTGACATTTAAGATGGTTTATTAAGCCAAACTAGATGGTTTATTAAGCCAAAAGCCAAAGTTAATTTCAACTTACGACCATCTCCCCATGGATCACAGGTGCAGCTTCTTGAAAAATGCCATCTGGCATCTGTGCATTCAGAACCAGCCACTTAAGAGCACTGCAGAGAACATTCTCCTGAATGGGAATGAGGCCACTGGCCATGGCAAAGACTTTGCCCACGTATGCCGTCAGCCTTTACCACAGAGATGAACAAACAGGACACATGGACCATCAATTAGAAATGAACTATATTGGATAATTATTCAGAGAGCAGATAGGGATTGGTTTTTACCATGTGCTGCTCGGTCTGCTTATCCAAGCGGCATAGGATCCGTCCACTTTACGGTAAGCCAGCTCATTTTGATAACCTAAGAGCAGAGAGAGAGGCATCAGTTTCATTATGATTGCTCTTACCTATCTTCAGATCCTTCAGAGTTTATAGGATAATCATAAATTTTAATTTCCATTTTACTAGTTTGTAAACCAAACAACCTTAAACTGCAGGCAAACTAACTTTCTGCACAGTATTTCATGAGTAACCTTTCTTAACATTTTTTGTGAGTATTTAATCTAATTCCAGATTTTGCATAGGACAAAGGAGATCCAGTCATGCTTGGGTTTAAAAGGAACATTTAGTGCTTTATGAGCAAGGATGAGTCAAAGCCACTTTGACAGTTTAAGAACAATGTTATTTCTCCCTCTACAGTGCATAATTACATCAAATGATGACCGCATGGGCTCGGAAATACTTTGACAAACCGTCATTAAACACTGTGCATCACTGCATCCACAAATGCAAGTTAAGTTTGTACTATGCACAGTGGAAGCCAAATGTCAACAACATCCAAAAACTTTTCTGGGCTTGAAATCATTTGAAATAGATACATGCACAGTGGAAATGTGTATTGTGGTCCAATAAGTCAACCTTTCAGATAATTTATGGAAATAAAATACATTGTGTTCTCCAGACCTAATAAGTAGAGGACCATCCAGGTTGTAACCAGCATTAAGGTCTGTCACAGTATTGGACAGGGGGTTGAAGGGGGGTATTACAGGGTAACTTGTACACCTGTGAAAGTACCATTAATGCTGAAAAGTGTACACACATTGTGGAGCAACGTATGTGACTTTCTAAACAACAGCTTTTAAGGGATGTCTCTGCTTATGTGTACATGACACTGTCAGATCACCATCTACAGCATGGCTGCATAATCAGAGTCTCCCAGCAGTCCAGAACCATCTCCCAAAAAATTTGCTGTTATGAACGAGTGAGAATCGAAGTCACGACCCTTATATCCGTAGTTGGGTGTTCTAAGGGACAAACCACCTGGCAAACAATAGGGGATGGGCTCAAGTGCAGAGCAACTAAGGGTCAGGGAAAAGCTAAACTTCAAAAAGAGAAAAAGGGCTGAGACCAGGAAACCAAGTTGGACAAGGAAAAAAATAAAAAGGGAAACAAGGAAAGTAACCGGTCACAGGAACCAGGGGTCAAACCCTCAATCACCGTGATCCCAAAACTGAACTCAAAACCATCCCTTCTTTAATCTCTCCCTCACTTCTCCCTAAACACAGGGGGCGAGAGAACACTCAAAAGAGAACTATTTTTAATACTTACAATGGGAATCAACTAGAGGAAAAGCAAAGGGCTCGAAACTCGAGAGAGGTACTGAAATTACCGGCTGAGTCAGAGCGACCTGCACATAGCTGAGAAAACTCAAGACTGAGCGCCAAGCGGCGTGTGAGCAAACCTTAAATAGGGTGCCCATAGCTGCTACCGCTCAGCCCTAATTACTCAGTCCTGGCTCTCCAGCCCCTCCTAGTGGCTGGAGGTGGCCTTGCAGGCTGCTTGGACGTTACATGTGTGGTACATTATGAAGTGCAAATTTGACAATAAAGGCCCTATATGGTGTCTTCAGTCCTGAAACATTTATTAAGTGCAATCAAAAGGAAAGTTGACACAACATGTAAAACATGCTCTAGTCCCAACTTTGGAATTAAATTTTAATGAGCACATATTAGAAAAAAAGTTAGTCAGGTAAAACATCAAATATTGTGTTTTGTAATATCTAATCACTGCTTTTCAATTTTCACTTTATCAGTTTTCAAATCAAACTTTTTAGTTGCCTTTTACATAAGATGCCAACTTTTTTGGAATTTCAGTATTGAGGTTTGAACAATACTTATTTATGAAAAATGTTTCAGAAAAAGGAACTGTAATTAGTCCTGTTTAATTGAATTTTGTTCAGCACAGTGTGTGAAAGGTTGAGTGAAAATCATTGCACTTATATACTTTGTTTTTTTTTTTTTCCCCAATTTAATTGTGTCCAATTCCACCCGCTAGTTAGGACTCCCTCAATCACACAATACTATCAACACTAGGAGGGTGAAGGCTAACACAGGCTTCCTCTGACACCTGTGAAACCAGCCACCGCATCTTTTCGAACTGAAACTCACACAACACACTGGACAGCTGAACGCGCTCGGAGGAAAGCGCCAACCGCCAGATCTGTTACGTCAGCTAACAGACACCTGCGCTGACTAGCATCGCGTTGGGTGATGGGGGGAGAGGGAGGGGCCATCCTACCCACCCAGGGAGGCCAAGGCCAATTGTGCTCTCTTGGACTTGGATGACTGTAGCATCACCAGGGATCGAACTCGCGATCTCCTGATGATAGGGTCAACGCTTAGACAGTTGCGCCACTCAGGAGCCCCCTTTGATTTATTTATTTATTTATTTATTTTTTTATATTTATTTTTTTTTAAGATATTTGTTCCAATTTATGAAACATCAGAACAAAGAACATATTGTATCATAAAAATGTTTACAAGTACTGTGATATGGTATTGTTGCCATGATGTCACCCTAGGTCTAATGTCTGGCCATCTTCAGTTATACACAAGAATCTTGCTCTGACCAGCATAGAAAAAGTAGATAGATGTTAATGAAATACCAGGTGTGGGTGTGTGTGTGTGAATGTGTATGTGTGTCTGTGTGCGCTGCGATGGACTGGTGACCTGTCCAGGGTGTATCCTGCCTTCCGCCCAATGACAGCTGGGATAGGCTCCAGCACCCCACCGCGACCCAAAACGATAAGCGGTTTAGATGATGTGTGTGTATGTATGTGCTTTTAGGGGGCGGCACGGTGGCGCAGTGGGTAGCGCTGTTGCCTCACAGCAAGAATGGCCTGGGTTCGATTCCCGGCCAGGTGACCAGGACTGTGGAGTTTGCACAGTCCGAAGACATGCAGTCAGGCCAATTGGACATGCTAAAATTGCTCCTAGGTGTGAGTGTGTATGTCTGCCTGTCTACCCTGACCTGTGTTTAGATGGTGTGTGTGTGTGTGTGTGTGTTTCTGAGGTTATTTCAACACTTAGTGACTTACATTTGAACAATGCTCCACCCCTGAGAAAATACCATATGATACATTTTCCAGCCAGCCCATCCTTTATCCTTACAAAACCCAAAAACAGAATATTACATCCATGTCATTGAAGTGATCACTTTTCTCACCTGTCTGGACGTGTCTGACAGCTTCAGCACGGCGGTGGACGCCCACTCTCTCCCACTGCTTGGTGGTGTCCAAGTAGTACGTGGCAATGAGGGGCAATGTCATGTAGATCATGTTCTGCTCTCCACAGCCACCAGGCTGCACAATCAGACGCCCCATGAAGTCACCACTGATGGCCTGCTCGACTGTCATACTCAGCTCCTGACCTAAAGCAAACAAGAGCATAAATGGATAGGGAGGTGAGAAGTTGGATGAATTTATAGATGTTTTTGTTTCAACTGAAAATTACTGTCATTCTTTTAAGTAGAAAATCTGTATTATTGTGCTCTTCTAGACCGAAATCAGCATTGTCATTCCTGGACTATGTTAAAGCAAATATTAAGGGTCAGGGTCTTTTAGTGCTCCTATCACCAATAGGACAACCTTGTTTTTAGCCTTCAACCCTTAGTTTTTTCTTCAATCCTTAGTTTTTCTCCAGGTTCTGACGGGCTTTCCTTTTGATACCTATTTAGAATTACTACATATATGTTTACCTTGCAGTCAGAAGAAGAAAAAGAAGAAAAAACACAGGGGCAGCCATGATTCTACTGCGAGACTAGCTCTTTATTGGTTTTATTCTTCAAACACTGATCCTGTGTGTTTCTGATTTGAATGAAAACTATATATACAATATAAATAGGTCTTATATACAGTATAAAAATATGTTTGTTCTCTCAATAAGTGAAAGAATGGGGTTAGGACAACATTTCGGTGGGCCAAATGAGTTGTTTGCTTCTTATACTCGATCCAGGCAACTTGGTCTACTTAATCTTGATGAATGATGCTATCTACCTGTACTTCTTAGAAGTCTCTAACACAGAACTGACATGTAGTGAATGAATGAATTAACTTTTGTTTAGAAGCTATTTGTATCTGTGCCTTTAACAATATATTCCTAGAATGGATTATGGGCAAAATAATGAAATGGCTACATTTCTCTTACCAGACACAGTAATGTATGTATGTGCAGGAGTGTTTGGAATCAGCCTTTCTGGTATGTTACTCTTCATATGCACAACTTGCACACCACCTTTTCAGAGAAAGACAGAGAGGCAAAGAGAGTAAGTGTTTATTCATGCACCTGAATACTGATAAGCATTCTGAGTGATTTGATACAGCATAAATTGGAAACAATAAGTAAAGATCAGTGTAGTGAAAATGTCTAAAATACCCACCAGGAAATTTAGTGGGGGTGAGCTCCACATTCTTCTCCTCAACTGTAGTTAACACGCCTTCAGACTGAGGAAGTGAGATATAATATAATGGATTTGTTCATCGGTTTATATGCTGATTGTTTTTATGTCATCACAATGGAAAACCTGAGCATTTAACTTCAGCTTAGGTTATCTGAAATTTTTATATTGGTGTATATTACTGATGTGAGACTAGTCCTGTACCACAGATTCAGCTACACTGAGCCAACAACATCAGTTCAGCTTGCTGCCCATGGCTCATGCTGAACGACATTCTCTGAACCTCTCTGAGACGAGTGCTGACACTCTTCAGCTGACACTCACCACCACCTTCAGGGCCTTCCTTACTCCATCAGTAAGTGTTGACTCATATGCTGCAGCCTTCACCTCAATCCAGTGGTTGCCCAGCTCCAAGGGAACAATAATGTATGAGATGGATCTGGAGGACTGTGCTTCAACATTAACTGTGGTACGGTACCTGCCCGTTTTGCTGGCTGCACTGCAAACATTCTTCATCCCTATGAAATCCACACGCACCTAGTGTGGACAGGAAGCCGGAAGTTCTTAATAGCAAAAACTGCACATTGTCAAGCTAAACATTCTTCAGTGAGAGATACAGAGTGGACTCAGTGGATGAACTCTATAAACAAGAAACTACTACTACTGAGAAAGCTTACATACATGGGAATGGCAGTAAAAAGAAAAAGGCACTGATGTTGATGTAGATTCTGTTTGACCTGTATTCAGTTGAAAACAGTACAAAAGCACATTTTTTCCTTTTGATATAATAATTGTTTGGGGGCTGAAGATACTAGTTGATCCTGTTTCGAAAGTGGAATTTTCGCAATTTTGTAGTTTGCAAACTGTGCCTTCCGCATATGGCTGTGTATGCGAGTGATGAGCGAGCCGTAACAGTCTGAAACTGATCCAAACATAAAATCCTGAAACAGGGTGTAAAAGCACAAATTTATTTTAACAGTATGCAACCCTCCTAAAATGAGGGTTTATTTATTTATTTTTTTGTACTGCACTCAGATTAGAGTAGTTGCAGTTCTTACAATTTCCTGTAGAGATGGTCTGAGCCGGTTTTGAGAGAGAGTGAAAAGGATTCAAACTGTGTTTATATTAGACAGAAAAAAAAGTTTTCTAAATGTTTCTTGGGAAAGCGGAATGATAGCGCACATTAAGAGCAAACTATAAAGATATATGCAGTCGATCCCTAATGTACAAATTTACTAGAGGAATTGAAGATTTTCGTGTTTACACGATCATTTGAACGATCCAATAACTGCAGAAATCCAGTTATGATCAGATAATTAAGTGCATGTAAACACACTCATTGAGTAATGAAGAGGCAGCTTTGGCAGAGGGCAGAGAAACTAAAGCAATTGCAAGCTACCCAGGTCTTAACAGCACCAACTTCACATCTGAGCGATTTAAAGTGGTTAAGTAAATATATAAACTCTTTAAGGCCAAACAATAACATGGCTAATTGGCATGCATTATCTATCAATAATGTAGATTTTTTTGGTTTGTGTCACATATATTATATTTTTGAAAATGTAAACACTTATATATACTATATACCCAAAAAATTTAATACTCATAACAAATTATTACATTGTTTAAGTGCTAACTGATCAAATTTAATTGAATAAACAATTTAACAATAAAAGAAACCTCACCCATCTTTTATACAGTCATAGGAAACACAATAACTCATAGAAAGCTCCAGTGCTACTACATTATACTGTGAGCATTTTGAACATGCGTGTGCTGTAACTTCTCTGGCAGCAGATTTATTTGTGGTGTAATTGCCAAATTCTCAGAATGGATCACCAGCAAGATCCTCTGTTCAATTAATTGCTGTACATGACTGTATTTTCTGTATAAAACTTTGTGTTTTGAATCATTTGTGAATAATATTTCGTACCTCAGGTATTTTGTCATGGTACAATCTGGCCCACTTTACGCTCTCTTTGTAAAGGAACATGCAGTTGTTCAATGTTGTTTAAGCATTGTGGCAATTGTGATGTACATTTTCACAATAACGGCACAATAACGGCACTCGATCGACAAATACACTATTTACAGTTTTCTGACTAATTCAAAGAAGCTTTGTATTGATCGATGTTTCCCACCATCTGTCAGTATCTATGTTTTCACACTTAAAAAAAAGCTTAAGAAATGTACCCTCTGTTTTTTATTAGAGAAGTTATGCAGAATGGCCTTGATCTCTAATTGCTCGTTGCGCACTGCTGAATAAGGCAACTTCAGGTCCAAAAATAAATCCTTTTTAACAATCATTTCATAAGGATCAGCCACACAGATACCTGGAGAGAAAAAGAGTGAGAGATAAATGTCATATTCTATAATCAACAGCCACTGCAAATGTCATTCATGTTTGTCATGGCACACTAATCCTCGTAGGGGTCATCAAATCTGAGTTAACATATGATTACATTGTTTAACGAGTTATTTTTTCAGTCAAATCCGAGAACAGTGTGAGACTGGACACTGACCATCGGTCTTAGACAGGCTGATGGCTAGGATCTGCCAGGTAGTGATGGAGTCTTTCAGAAGAATATTGTCCATGTTGAGGGTTGTTGTAGCACTGGAAGAAGGGAGAAAAGCACCATTTAAAATATAAATATGAATCAATCGCATTTAACATTGTTTAGCATTTACCATTCCCTGTATTCAGTTAAAGATTAAAAACACAGTAGTAAGAAAAAAATCATATATATTTTGCATTTACCATTGGCCTATTTGGCAGCTTGGCAGTACCCTGTCTTCCCAGAGCCAGCTCTCGGGGAAATCTGTACGTGAAGTAATTGCATCTGAGCTTATATAATCTTTGTCTTCACCTGTGTGAGGATGTACAAACACACACACAAAACCAATGTAACAAGCAGGTGAAAGAAAGGAGCTTGGCAAGGTTTAAAAAAAAGTGAGTGAGAATGGGCTATTCAGCTTTATTCTATGATTGACTGACTGACTTAAATGAAACATTTAGCGAGAATACATTTAACTGAGGAACCGCAGTCAATGTTTTAAGCTTCTTTGAAAATCTGACACAACTCAAATAAGGATATAGAGCAAAATGAGTTCATACTGCGAGCCAGCAGCATTTCCTCCTCTGCATTTGCCTTCTTGCGTTTCTGTATCTCCTTGCAGCAGTGCAGGAAAGCTTGAACACATTCTACACTATCGGCGATGAATGCAGCTCTCCGTTCACATGTGTAGCCCAGCCGATTCTTCCTCAGTCCATCTGCACAACACTGCTTTTCATCACCACTGTATTTTCCAACTGGAGGAAAAAAATAAATAGATCAGTGCTGGGATGGTAAGGGCAAAACTGTATAATAAGAATTCCATGAAGATCTACAGTTATCTGTAGAAGATCTGTGATACAGGAATATTTCATAAAACGTGACCACATTTTACCTTTTTTTTACAGGTTTCTGCAATTGTACAATATTAGTCCAGATACTTACTCAGTGTTTGGGTGATCTGTAAAAGAGTTTCAGCTCTCCGTTTTCTCTTTGGTGAAGTGGGACAGTCAGTTGCTATACAGAAAAAAATGTCCATTATTTTTGCTTGTACACTTGAAATTTCAGTATAATTTCAGAAGAGATCATTCATTGCTACCATTTTGGCAAATTATTTGAGAACCATTTAAAACCATGTTTTACATTGTAATTGGCATCTTTATCACATTATTGGTTGGAAAAAAACAAAATATCTACTGTACTTGTTCTAGAGCTGGTGCCCCCTGCTTTGTCTGACTCAAACAGCAGACCAGCATCATAGAAAACCCCCATGCTGTCTTTACCACTGCCAGCTGTACAGCCAGTGTCATGCTTCTCAATGATGTCCCAGATCTATTGTTGGAAAAAAAGTTTTTTTAGATAACTGGAGTACAAAGCATGCAATAAAACTATAGTTTATCTTAGATAATTATCAGTTCTGTTGGTAACCACTTACCTTCTCCTGCGTGAGTCTGTTCTTGTTGAGGACAAAGACGCCCTTGTCCACAGCTACAAGACCAACCTTGGCAGCAGGATCTCCAGTAATTTTAAGACCAAACCGCTCCCCAGGTTCATATGATCTCTTGGGTTCCTTTACCTCCACTCGCAACTAGTGTGGAAAACAGATCAATAGGCTTAATTCTTCAGTCTGAAGATAACAGAACCAGGTGAAAGATTCCTTCTAGAATACAACTTTCAGGGGTTCTGAGAAACGGCTCTGGAACAGTACTTTGGTAGTACTGTGGTGATATTTAGGAAGGGTGCCTATACAAAATTTCAATTTCAACTGGGTAAGTTACTGACATGCATGACTTTCAACTCCTCCTGAAATATCAAGTTGTGGGAGAACAAATTTTCTAATATTCTGTATAGTTACTCTGTGTGCCACATGGGCACTGCATATTACTCAGAATGTTTTGTTCTCTTTGTGCTTCCTTTTTTGGTGTAACAACACAGTTATGTGGTTTTCAAACAGTCAAGCTGTTAACATCTCTGTGAGAAGGCATATTCAATAAATACACATCTTCCTCCAAAGTATTTTTCCTCAAACTCAGAAACCTCACTGGGCATACTTTAAAATATAACAACTGGCGAGTCAGCCAGGAGCTGCTTGGTTCTTCAGATTCCAGGTTCTTAAGAGCCACAAGTCAACTGCCTGACGATCTCTTACTGTGTGAGTCAAACACTGAAAAAAACCTTCTAGTCTGAACAAAATCCATATTAACATTTTTTTTAAACGTTGTTGTAGAACTGCTAAACCAGGGGTACCCAAACCTTTGCAATTCATGGCCCACACAGCCTGTTTTTTTAAGATTTACCTGAGCTGACTGTGTAAAATCTAAGCAAATATAACACAGTAATCAATGCAAACTATCCAATTAAGCTTGACTATATAATCACGGAATAAAATAAACAGTATACACCACTCTTTCTGACTAACCTAATGAGATGGCTGATGTTATTTGCCAGCTATCATGTGCTGGATGTCAGGCTGAACAGTGGAAAGCTGTAAACAGTCTGGCTCAACAATAGGCCTGATCCTGTATTTGGTCTTGAGTGCCAACAACATAGAAAATTCAGTTTCAGCATTAGAAATCTTGCTGCCTTTTCAAAAAATTGGGATCTAACATGAAGCCTAAAAATTGCCAATGATTTCTGTGAAAAATGCAATAAAAAAATTATTACTGTTGCAAGGTAGGTCAGAGAGATTCTCAAACGACTAGTAATTTGAATGGTCTACATGCCAAGCCATGTCCAGTTTCTTTATTGTAGCTTTAATTTTGCTTTGGACAAAAAAATTGTCACTGAGTTGCCTTGAAGGCTAAGATTTTGTTCATTCAAGTGACTACAAATGTATTAGGGTAAGACAATTTAGCAAGCCGCTCTAAATCAGTGAAATGGTATGAATGTTCTTTTATGTAGGGCTGAATGGTTCTGAGCACACAGAGTAACAGTCCTAGTGGCCCTGCCACATGGACACGGTTTGACCTGGAAAGCTTACAAGCCGTGCAGAGTGCAGTTTTCTTTGCACAGTTAGCTATGTTTTCATTTGAACGCTTACGTTGGTATTGTGTCAGTGCATCTTGCCGAAACTGTAAAACAGTGAAATAAGTTCAGTTCAGTCACACAGTCATTAAATAATGAATTTTAAAGCTGTGGATGATTCTAGCAAAAACTATTAAATATTAAACGGTGCTGCTATGTAAAAGAGAGGATAGCTAGCATACCGTGTTCCATGGTGTTTGGATGTTCTAGCCTAGTTAGCTTAGCTAGTGGCCTACAGACCCACAAACCATGTTCAATTCCAATTAATCTGCTGGTAGAAGTATGACCCTGGAACCCAGTAACATGGTACAGCACAGAGCATGGCCCAGGAAACACAGTCATGTTTATACCTCACAAATGCAAGGAGGTTGTAAAATTCGCCATATTGGTAGATTTAACCAACTGTATCGCCTAAGAGCAACTTACAGTCACTCTTTTTTGAGCTGCTGGGTTACATCACCTACCATTTCATCTAGTCTTTGTGTGTGTTACCAGATAGTGATATCAGATTCAACCATTTGTGGCCTTTTTCTCTGAGCTTCATGCCGACCACCTCATTCACAGTAGGTAAAACTGTGAACTCTTGAAACGAGTTGCTCAGGAACTGAAACTGAGCAACTCGTTTCAAGAGTATTTTCTTGAGTATTTTCTTGAGTATTTGATATTCCTTCAAGAGTGCTTGGTATTCTTCAAGTTTGTTCTCGAAAAATTCCACAGGTTTACATGCATGTTCACTGTATTTAGTCTCCAAGTGATAATTGTTCAGCTTTAGAGCTTCATTTGATAAGACTTCTCAGCACACAACACAGAGCAGTAGCTGCTCATATTCAGTTCCCATGCACAAAGCCTAGCTCTAGATACTCATTGCTGTATTTTCTTCCTTTCCATTTATGCTTTCTATCCCTGTTTCCTCTTTCTGGGACAGGGTGGCCACTTCACTTCTAGGTGGCCCAGCTCTGTGATCTTTCCTTTTGAAAGACCCTATTTTTTACCATTTTTTCTATGATGGATAATACTGATACAATACGAGAGTAGAGTTGCTTCATTATTTGCCAAAATATTAAAAGAATGACCACATCTGTACGACTTGGTAATTTTTCAGTCTGAACTTTTTGTGAGAATGCAGCAGATGACCTACCGTTCCCATACATGTGTCCTTTACATCAACCCAGACTGAATCAGCCACCACCTCAGAAGATCCCACGTGGTAATATGCCACCACACGGAAAGAAGGAAGCATGTCCTTGGTTATAAGTACTGGCAGAGTCACTAGAGACTGTCCTTGCCTCTTAAACCTGTTTGCTTGGACAATCAGTCCTTTACTGAGGATCTAAGAGAAAAAGAGGCAGAAAGGATTTGTGAAATGTCATATACAGTGGTGCTTAAAAGTTTGTGAAACCTTTAGAATTTTCTACATTTCTGCATAGATTTGACCCAAAACTTTTTCATATTTTCACACAAATCTTAACAGTAGGTGAACAGAACCAAATTAACCAAATGGTCATTTATTTATTGAGGAAAATCTACAATATTACGTATCTGTGAGTGGCAAAAGTATGTGAACCTTTAGGATTAGCAGATAATTTGAAGGTGAATCTGCAGATGAAGGATCTGCAGATGATTCTATAAGGACTGGAAAAGCTATATCGTCTCTGGAATAATTTTATAATACAATTAATATCCATAGTGCTTCTTAATTGCATTGACATTGATATTAATTGTATTGTCAAATCTCATGGTGGATATTTTGATGAAAAATGACGACCAATAGATACAACCTATTTATTGTGATTTAATACGTTTTCCAAAATACTTAAAAAAAATATATTATTTAAACTTTATTAAATTGAATATATTAATGACAAGCGATTTTTATTTCCACTTTGGAAATCCACTAACAAATCAGTAAAAACAGGACCCAATTTCATTTCTTGATCATTTTGTGTGTGTATGTAAGTGTGTGTTCTGGAAAAGTACCAACCAGGTAAGTGAAATCTTGATTTTGGACACCAGGGCTTCTGATGAAGTTCAGACTAACTTTCAAATTATCACCGACTTTCAGTTCTTCAACGTCAATGCCAATGTGAAGGTAATTGTTGGAGCCTCCTTTAGTAATGTAGGCTTCGGCAGTCATTTGCTTTTCATCTTGTCTGTTGTTTGATATGGCTGGATCATTGGTTTTTACCTGTGAGACATCAAAAACATAATTTGTTTTGGACATTATGCTTTGTCCACTTCATGCATCTGTTGTGCAGTAGCTTGTAGTCCAATAAAGAACTTTAATTTTTTTTTCTAATATTTGTCACATAATGACTTACAAAATTGAATACGAAACTTGAATTTCCCACACCAAATTAAAAGGTATGTAATGTCTATGTTTTTCCATATTCTTTTGCTATAAGGCAAAATACAAACTCGGTCTGCAACACTAATCAACGTTATCGATTATGTTGGTAATGAAAAAAAATTGGCAATGAATTATATTATCACTCACTTTTGTGTATTGTGTTAATGGTTGCTATTTCTATGGTGTTCCAAAGATGAACAGGAATTTGTCCCCATCCCTCACTGATTTAGAAAACTCATTTTAAGGCTCCCATTTTGATAATGTAACATTTCTGAGGCTGACAAATAGTACAAGACTCACATTAATTTGTAGACTCCTGGCTCCCGCTTGAGTGTTGACTGTGACCTTTGCCATGCCATTGGCCTTGGTCCGACCCTGCCCGCCTCCAGGGCTGACCACAACATCAACGTTTCCAGCAGGTGTCTGGTCTGGATTCGTCACATAAACCTGTTCAAATCACAAATCCTGATAAGATTCATGTTTCAAATTTAAAAAAAAAGTATTCAATTTAAGTAATCTCTGGATAAAAAAAGAAACATTATTTCACCATAGATCAAAAGCAAGTATTTGCATTTGCAGGAGTCAGACCTCAATAAACACTGGTGAGGATGTGTTTCTTCATTTCAGCAGAAGGAAACTACCAAAACTGACCAATAATGAATCAGGCAGGGGGGAGGTAGAGGGGCTAATACATTGTGCAACCACAAATTTGCTACAATCTGTAACTATACACCTTTGCAGAAGAGCCCTATGTGTTATATATTTGCTTCTGATAAAGTGGCTGGTTAGTGGAAGTACAATGTAAGGATTCTAATAAAGTGGCCAAAGCCTGGATGTGGAAGGTAAATGTTTCTAAAAAAAATGGAGAGTGAGAGGAAGCAGAAGGTTGGTATTTCCAATAAGAAAGGGGACCTTGAGTGGAAGTAGAACGTAGATGTTCTCAGCAAGAAGAAGTAGATTAATGTTTGTAGTAAAGTGGCTTTTGAGTGGAAACATAAGATTAGGGTGTTTCTAATGTTTCTAATAAAGTAGAAATGTGGGTGTATATATGTCTTTCATACCATGACATCAAAGGGCATTCCAGGTTTGAAGAATTTGGGTGTTCTTTTGAATTGGATGGTATAAGGTGATGTCACAATGTGAATGCCTCTCCTCTGAGCTTCCACCATTTCACTGCCTAAAACACAAACATTTATATTTGAGCATAACAGCTATAATATAACATAACAGCTATATTGGCCTGATTTGTTCAAAAAGGCTAAGATTTGCAATACTAATGAAATTTGACAGGAGCGATTTTGCAGGACACAATTAGTGAATTCCTATGGACTCTTACCAGTTTCTGTTAAAACACTGACTGAAATATACAAAGAGCTTCCAACCAGCTGTTTGATGTCTGGAAAAGTTTTCTGGATCATCTCTTTATTCAGTGTTGCACTTCCTGCTCCGTCACTGATCTACATAATAAATATAATAATACTTTAAAGGAAATGATTTTTCTTTAAAAAGGTTGTGTGAAAGAAAAGGCATTCAGCAAGTCGAGGAAAGGAAAGTACTCAAAATTGTTAAGAGTACATTTGGTGATATATCTTCTCACAGTGTGAAAAACTCTGTAAAGCTCACCGTCACTCTTCTTAAAGAGGCTGGCAGGCTGGTCTTGCTGTCACCATGCATCACACCAAACACCACAAATGCACTTCCTTCCACTTTGTTCCCAAACAGATACCTTCACATAGTTCACACTGGTTACATTATATTCTTATGTGGTTTTCTGGTCATGGATGGTCATTATCTATTCCACTACTTTGTAGTAAAATGCTTGAAATGTTCATCAAGCTACCATTTTTCAGTTTCAGCATTTTTTAAGTTGTAAAATATACTTCTATGAAAGGTTGTAGTTGAAGTCATGTTCCTCTTACTTTGCAGTGATGTCCACTTGAAGGCGATCATCATCAATGTAGAAGAAAGACCTCGATGGATTTAAGGTGACCTCAAAGGTTGGCAGCACTGTAAAGCAAGACATAAGTCAGTAAATGTGTGGAAACACAGCAGGTACGTTTTTGTTGTCTAAATATAAGAATCTGACCGTATTCTTTCACTTCAAACTCAGCAGTGAAGTTCTTCTGAGGGGCATTCTTGTAGCGTGCTGCTACCATCCATATTCCAGGGCTTGAGAGAAGAACAAGTAACATTTCAGGTCAGAACATGCAAAAAATGCCATTTATGGGATCATACAGACAAATAGGTCTCCCAGACATGATGTCTATATCAAGACACACAGATGTGTGAAAAAAATGGCCAATTCTGTTATAATCAGTATAGCATACATCCTCTTAATATGTATTATTTTAGTGCACTAACCTGGCAATTTCAGGGATATCATACTTCTTAGTCAGAGTCCCTTGTTTAGAGAGGAATGCTTCCCTAACAAGTACAATTCCCTGAGGATTCTTGAAAAATAAAGTTAGAATTATTATCAATGAAATGTGACATGAGCAAATGCTCAAACACCCAAACATATAGACATCCTTTTTAACTCAGATGTGTTCCATTTACCTCATTAAACCTAAACACCCCTTTTTAGAGTGTTTTTACACTTTTCCTGAATAGTTAAGTATGCACTCAGGACCAACAGCCTTCAGGCACAGTACTGACCATACCAATGTAAACTTAAAGTGAAACCCTAGATGGTGTTTTCAAGAAGACTAGCGATCACGTCTCTGGACCACTTCCTTGATTGCCCTGTAGATGGTACTACATCTACATAAGTACCCATAAATTTACACTATTTTCCGCTTACCCCAATATGGTCAACTGGCCACAACATGTTCAATATATTAATTTTTCATTCTTTTGGAAATCTGATTGAACTATTGAACACTGAACTATTCCTTTAAATAATCACACAATTTAAAGAAAATTAACCCCCAATAGAATCTTAAAGAACATTATAAGCAGGGTTTAATATTATACTAATTTTTGGTGTAGAACTTTTACATTACTTGAGGGTAATTTAAAACTTAAAAATGTTTCTCACACTCACAAATCTCTTTATCAAATATGAATTTGCGTTTTAAGGAGTCAAAAGTGGTTGTTCTATGGCATCAGTCAAAGAACACTAGGTGATTTTTTTTTAAAAGAGTTTAGAGTTGCGATTTGAGCACTTACTATGATTTCAACCGAGACTTCATTCTGGTCAAGTGGCTGCAGATCAGGACTCACTGAAAAGACTCTGTACTGAACTGGAGAAGGATGAAATAGGTCAAGATTTAAACGCACATACAGGCCAGTTTTCTTTATAAAGGTAAAAAGGTTACATTTAAACCCAAAACTAATTATATAATGACAACTTATGATTTTTACCAGTCAAGACTGAATACAATTATATTCGGTCTTTGGCTGGTTCCGTTGTATAATGCATGTTCAGTATTGGTGCAATTTGATTTCATTTGCATCAGTGCATTTCAGAGTTTGGCCATACTGGGGCGCCATTTCATGGGTGAGTTCAGAGTGTTCTACCTGTGCTGTTGGGTGTGTAGATGCTCTTGTCTGTCTGGATGAATATGTAGCCTGACTGAAAGGAGACCAAGACCTCCTTCTCTAGCACTCCAGAAGGAAAGTGGGCCTGCAGGTATACGTACTGCTTGTCTAGGGGGCCATCGCTGAAGATGTCCTTGTTTTCAGCTATCTGAACCACAGGAAAAAATCTTGCTTATTTGTGGGATTCAATCATTTTAAGACCTATTTTGTGAGAAATCAAATGTGCAAATTTTACTCCTATGCCAAATATAGTTGATTGGCTAACATGTTTTATTTTGTACTGGAACTACGAGGCTAATATAGCTCGGAAGAATGGAAGCTTATATGCTGCCATCAGATTAGCCTCATGCAGAGCTGATCCTGATCTCACTGGGGCAATAAGCAAAATTCTGCTAGGGTCCCTCCTACCTGACCCTTGCACCGTGTAAACCATTTGCACTTGCCACACAGTCAAACCTGACACTTTAGTGCCTCCACTTATTTCTTTTTTAGTGACCATATGGATAGTTCCACTTCATCCTCTCGCAACGTACAGTTATCATATAGGGCCAATCAGCTCTGGCCTCATGCAAACTGCATGACTAAATCATCGGACGCTTGTTGTTAAGTAATTTCTAACAGAGTTGATTATGTGGTTTCTGACACTGAATAAAGTACTGTTATCTCAATATTTACCCTAGTGCATGCATGATGCTAATAGTCTTACTTTTTATCAATGCATTAGACCCAATTTGTCAAACACAAAGCCTGCGGGCCACTTCAGGCCTGTGGGACAATCCTTTTCGGCCTGCAAAATTACTTTCATTTTCTATTGTTATTCGCATGTTTCAACCCGAGCTGCACTACAATCCCCAGCATGCACTGCAACACTGTGTGTTCCGACATCCTCCCCCTATAACAATCAGCGGTTACACAGAAAGAAGAGATGCCTGGTTTCTAGCTCAAGAAAATAGGCATAGGTTTTAGGTTAGGTTTTAGAAAACTTACCTAAAACAATTTTAAAAATTATAAATCAATTAATTTATAAACAATTTATTTAGAATTATTTTTGAATAAGTATTCAATGGCCATTTTGCTGTTGTAGTTTTGGTGTATTCTGAATAAACAATGGCTAGCCCACCGATTTGTTGAGATTTTTTAATATGGCCCATTTAGTGGTTGAGTTTGACACCCCTGCTTTAGATCATATTTGTAAACAACTGTGTGTCGTAAAGTGACAGAAACAACATGAAAAAGTCTATTAGAGATTACTTAACAACTCCACAAGAGACAAGAGTGAGATGATTTAGGTGTGCAGTTCACATAATGCTAATTGATGGGGCATATATGCTTCCGTTACTTTTAACCTGCATTATCCTCATAGCTTCAGTGCAAAAAACCCAAGTACAAAACTTTTATTAGTCACAGTCATTAATAACAAATGGTGTTGACATATAAAAATCTTTCCCTTCATTGATGATAGGGTGTCAGTGTCCATCTTGCTGAATCTGAACTTACAGAACTATGAATAATGTAAATTCATGTGAACCTCACCTTGAGAAGGGAGAAGTGGATATTTGAAAAGCAGATCAGGGTCCAGTTTGGGATCTGTTTATTTTTGCACTGCAAAATATCTGGAGACTAAAAACCATACATTTTTGGACTACAGTCAAACAGCACTGACCTTTATTTCTACAAGTGCCTGGTAGTTGTTTCCAGCACTGAGGACCACCGATTTAGATTCCAGCTCTATGGTTTTCTGTGGATGATTCTTCACAACGATCTTCACATTGAATGCTCCTCCAGCGTAATCTTGAGCCTCCACAAACACGTTCTCTGTGTTGCCCACCCTCAGCATGTTCGGGGCGGACAGGACATTGCTGGCAAAAATAAAGGTTTTTTAATTGTAATTAATTCGGTAACACTTTCTATGAATGTCACATTTGTAAGCATCTATAAACACATTTATAACATGTTATAATGCTTTCATATGGCATTATAAACATGATTATAAACATTTATAAAAATGAATTACGCTGGATTACACTTTATAGCCATGTTTATTATACAATATGAATGGTTAATATAATGCATTATAAGTAATGTTGATATGTTATACTGTCAGTGCCAATGAAGTCAGTCCCAGCTTGGAGACTGCAAAGTAAAGACAAATACCAAGCTAACGGTGGTGAACATTACCTTTCCCACATTGGGTAAAACACTGATGCAGCACTAGTTTAAACTCTGACATTTGAAGCCTGTAATGTGCTTTACTGTGAATGTTTTAGTGTTTCAGTAAATCCTTCAGTAAATACTTCAACTTGAAGCCTCACTCTGAACACTGGAGGAGGCTTTAGTACAGTACGCTTCACTTTACTTAGAGCGGACAAATACGACTTATGAGCTCTTATAATTTGTTATGATCAGTACTTATAATGTATTATGTTAACAATTCATAATGCATAATAAGCACGGCTATAACATGTAATGCATTTTTATAACTATTTATAGCCATGTTTATAATGCCTTATGAATGCATTATAACATGTTATGAATGTGTTTATAGATGCTTACAAAGGTGACATTCATAGAAAGTGTTACCATTAATTCTATATGTTCTTATGTACATTAATTATGACTTTTCTGTATAAAGGTAATTAAGCATTTACAAATTATAATTTTGCTCAAAAGCTCCATAGGAACCCATATATTTTGAGCTCACTTGGGAGCGCCCTCTAGCATCTAGAAAACCCAGAATATATTATTGTCTTTCAATCCTGCTCACTAGAAATTCTCTGGTTACACCACTGATGGGGTCTTACCAGCCCAGGTTGTCATATTCAGCAGGATGTCAAACATAAACTGATCCCAGATCAGCAGTTTAACTCTTTTTTTTTCCTGTACGTATATGTGCTTTTTTGTATACTAAGGTACATATAGTGTTATCATTGAAAACAGCCCATTTGAATCATAATAATCATAATATTTTTTCTTGTTATTCAGTCTTTCTGATTGCTACTTTTACTTCTTCTACTTTAAAGTGTAAAAGTGTGTGATATACTCACAGTGGTTGACATAGTGTGAGCAGTGGTGAAGACAGAAGAGCAGTAGTGATCCACAGCAGGTCCACCTGCACCATCCTGCCTGTCTGATCCTGCCTGTGTCTGAATAAATGCTTGTTACTGAGCAGAACTACAGCTTTGATACACACAAACCTCACACACCCCTCTCTTCTGAGGGTCCGCCTACAGGACAGCACATCCCACAACTCTCTACCTCCACCTCTTCCCATCATCGTGGTTATGAAACTGCACCAAGGCAGTTGCTTAATTTACAAACTGAAAATATATTGACAAATAAATAAATGAATTGTGTTGTGTTAAATGACGTAAAGTTGGTTCTGACTCCTGGAGACCATATGGACAGTGTTTCTCCAGAAAATCTTCTATTTGGGTTTTTACGCTTCTGAATGGTTTGCTTGTGGTTCCTCTGATGGTCTCTATCCATCTTGTTGATGGTCATCCTCTTCCTCTTTTACCTTCAACTGTTCCAAACATAACAGACTTTCCAATAAACTGGTTCTTCTCATAATGTCCAAAATAAGAGCTTTAGTTTGGTTATCTGGGCTTTAGGTGAGAGGTTTTTTAACTGTCCCAAGAACAACATTCTTCATTTTCAGAAAAAGTAGAGGTTCCCTATTTAAACACTAATGCAAATTGAGAAATGAAAAAAAAAAAAGTGGTTTCTCACAGTGATCACTGTGCCTGAAAGGGTTAAGAAATGATCCTTGCTCTAGATAAAACAGGATGACAGTGTTTTACTGCAGTAATAGAATTTTCTAAGGGTTGAAAAATTATTGAGGTAACATTGGTGTTCTATGGATTTTTGATAAACTTTCAATGTTGTTTCAATTGCTGTATTAATTCAGTGTGCAAAAGTGATTAAAAATCAACATTAGAATGTTCATTTAATAAAGTTACCATTATTGCTTTAATCAAGGTTTAACCTTGATTCAATGATTGAATGCTCTCTGGGTAAGTATGTAAAATACACATGATTAGTGTTTATAACAGCTAAATAGATCACTGACAACTTATCTTTTGAGAGACATAAAGTAATGACAAATTACTAATTTTCATACATGCATATTTTTATAATCAGAGTGGAGGGGGCTGAAATGGGCAGGGCCTGTGAACTGATGGGGCCTGTGAGTCGAGTCAGAGTTTTTATTACTGTGCTTGTAAGACTGATATATGTAAATGAGTTCTGATCTGTTTGGCTGCCCTGTGTCATAGATCACTTCAGTGTAAATGGGCTGAGCTAAACTGCTGTGGACTATATATTACAGATAAATGTAAATGCATTGCTTTTTGTGACGTCACAAAACAATTAACTGGTTTTGCAGCTTAGTTTACATATATGGACTGTATGGACTGGAGAGTAATTGGTACATTTTAGAATTTTCACAGTGTTTACATAGTACATCACATTTTTGTATTAAAAAAATTCATACATTTCATTGAAATACTCATACACTATTTACCAAATGTACCCTGTAGTGTTCACTGTAGATCTAGAACTGGATTTTAAAAATGTGCATTCACAAACTGTAAGCAGTTGCCACATCATAAAAACAGAAGCTGAAACCGCAGACTCATCTCAGGCCTAACTGCCTCTTGCAAAGTTATCAGAAGATAAGATTATTTGATAAAATGTCACGCTGAATGTCATGTTTTTTAAAAAGTAGTGTTTAATGATACTATAACACAATATCACAGTTCTCAGGGGCCTGAAAGGATCAAGTATTTCCACAATATTGTATAAAACTATACATAATTTTCAAAACTTACACCTTTCTCAAACTATGAAATTGCTTTAGTTTATTCCAACTTACACAATGGTGTGGTATAAAGTGGGTTGGGGCTCTCAGTGTGTTTGTACACTGGCAGTTACTGAGGTTCTGGTGGACTGGGCAGGAAAACACAGTTATTTTAATTCAAAAAGGAGAGTAGCAACATTGTGTACCTAATGTATCTACTGAGACTCTGAGTGTATCTACACTATCGTTTGACAGGGAGACCAGATAGAAAAACATTACAGTAGTCTAAACGCATGCACAAATTCTACATCTGCTTGACTGAGGGATGACTTGTGGTGAGCAATATTACAGAGATGAAAAATGTTATCTTAACTATAGAATTGATATGAATGTGAAAGGAGAGAGTAGGGTCATATATAACTCTAGATAACTATTATCAAATAGAAATCTACAAAAATGTAGATGCAAAGTTTTTGCGTGACACCAAAGATATGTGATTTTAAATGCATTTAAGGTGAATACAAATTATATTGTACTGTATCAGAAGGAGTCAGATGCGTGCAGGTTAAATCACTCATTAACTCTTTAATGTTCTGCTCAACCATTTGGTAGAGCACATTTTGAGTCACTATATATGCCACAACCGTTTGGTAGACATGAATAAAATTGTGGGGTCAGAAAAATGAAAAAAAGCACCAATTGTTTTTATTATTGCCCGAAACAAATAAAAAATACAAAATATGAAAGTCCATTGCTTTTTTCTTGGTGAGGACATTAAAGGGTTTTAAGCGCGTTTACATGCATTAAAATAACTGCAGAAAATCAGATTTTGTCAGTAATCCGATCAGTGTGTTTACAAGCATTTACATAGAGTAATCAAATAACAGGAAAATTCCTGGTCTGCATGAGTCAGACATTAATCAGATTTCTGCTTTGCAACCAGCCAATAAACTCACAGAAGAAGACGTGATGTAAACATAATGTAAAACTCAAACTTCATGCCACGGCTTTTATATATATGTATATAAAAAAAAATGTTCCACTTCACCTGAAAATATGAACAAATATCATCTAAAAGATGAGAAAGATTTAAGTCTTTAATTCACATGCACTGAAAAATCTGATTACTGAGCTAAAATCCAGCCTCTTTATCAGATTTCTTAATCAGTTTTCTAGATTGGAGTATGGTGTTTACATGAACATTTGAATAATCAGATAGCTGTAGAATTCGGTATACACATTTACTGAGACTTTACTTGAAAAAGGACAGTGCAAACACATACTTAGTAAATGGGCAAGGGTCAAAACTAGAACAAAAGGATTACCAAACCACTAAATCTTAAACAGGTTTCTAAAATGGAGAGCAGCACAAACTTCAATTTATCACAGAATATCACATTAATATTACAGTGAGAGCTGGAGAAATATTTCACTACAACCTGGCAGCTGACTTGAGAGTGAGTTGACGTCTAGAGAGCGACTTGACCTCTGGGTCCAACATTATAAACATGATAGCGGCTCTTATCTGCCAGTGTTTTACACACAGCTCCTCTGTCTCCGCTCTGCTGTTCAGGCACTGTTCATACATGTCTCTTTGCCTTTCTTGCCCACTCTTCTAGCTCTCTGATTGGCTGTTATTTGAATCACTCACTGAGTAACTCTCTGACCCTCTCACACTACAGAACTTGTGAAAGTTTTGAGTCGTAAATATCAAACATGTTTGATAATATCGGAGGGCCTCCGATCACTTCAGAGTTCGATCGGAGAGCTAAAGATTCACTCGATTCTATTCTCACATTAACAGATCATCCACAACGTCAGTCGCTTCCGAACTCCTGACCTGGAAAATTGCTTCAGACTGTGAAAATTAGGGGGTCATGTCTCTCTAACCATAGCAAACCTGAGAATTCAGATGTGTTGAGTACCAAGAATGTGATAGGTTCAGTGTGTAGAGCACTAGTGGTTCATTTACCTGGTTTGGTCTTGAGAGAAATGGAGTCATTTCCCACAGGGCCTCCATCTAGGGCTGCTACTTTGACAGGGATTTTCAGAGGCTCAACAGGAATTTTCAGTTCTTCAATCAGTCAAGTATGGATAAAATTTCCCTCCAGAGTCGATTATGCCTGAAATGACAGAAAAGATCTGATGGCAGTACAAGGTGACGGGCAGGAGGAAAAACTTCGATATCAACCCCTTGGTGGGAATACTCACCACATTATGTCCAGAGGTTGGCACCTGAGGCCTGTGCAGATGGTCCCGACTGTCATGCGTGAACATCGCCACCACCGTCACAATACATGCACAGGCCTCCCTTTAAATGACAAAGCCTTTCCACTGGAGTCAGGCGAGATGAATCACACTACATACACTCAACTTGGTTATTGTCATTACAGGCCTCCTGAGGTTCCCCCGGAACTGCAAAGAGAACTAAAAATCCTGAAGCTTGGAAGCAATGTTTGGACATTGCTGGCTTTCCTGAGCTTATGTTCATGCAGCAGTTGGTCTAACTGAAAAGACAAGGTGATCAGTTGGGCCAGTGATTATTCATCATCCTAGCAAGCCAGTTCAGGAAGTACTTCAGCATTCAGTCTGTTACAAAACATTACCAGGAGTGCTGGTGCGTTCCAATCACTACCAGCTGCTAATGTGCAAAACTCTGGAGCCCATGTGTCAAACAAAGGGCCCGCGAGCCAGATCAGGCCCTCAAAAGTATTTTTATTTTAAGTAATACTAGCCAATACTTTCACAATGTGCTGCACTACAGTCCCCAGCATGCATTGCAACATAATGTGCTCCAACTCTCCTACCCCAATAACAATCTATGGGACAGTGGTTACACCTCAATTCTACACAATTCTGCAAAATCCCACACCAGTCATATCACCAAAATGCATTTCAGCTGCAGTTCAACCAATAAAAACACTTAACCTTAGCTCAGCCGCTCAGAAATTGAGGCCAAGTCTTAATAAACTTGCAGCAAATAAAGGATGCCACGTGTCTAGTTCAAGCAAAAAGGCAGGTTTAAAAGACAGAGCACCTGGGGACATTTAAATTTTGAATATTTCAAGTGTCCATGTAATATTTCAAGGTCTACTACAAGTGTTTTGTATTTTACTATTGAAGTTTTTTCATATTTTGAATAAACAACGGCCAGTTTGGGTCATAGCACAACTTTAATTAAAAACGAAATAAAAACTTTTTTTTTCTTTGGCCCACAGATTTGATGAGATTGTTTAATAAGGCCCTTTTACTGGATAAGTTTGACACTCCTGCTCTAGAGCATACTGAGCCGTTGCCCTGGCAGAGTTTCGGCACCAATTCTCCGAAAACTCTTCCCTTGTGTGAGTGGTTAAA